TTTTTTTTTTTTGACTCTTACGGTTTTCTGTTTATTCTTTTTTTTTGGATTCAACTTTATCCTTTCATGCCGGTCGTTTTTCGGTTCCCATTTGTAGGCCGATGTCTTCTAGCACTGAGTAACTTTTCTAGGAGGAGATCTTTATCATGAGAACAAGCCATCGAGAGAAACTCAACTAAGGGTCACTCGTTTGTTTCGTCGGTACTGTTTGAATGACCGTCCTGTCGCATTAAAGTTTTTGAGCGATCCCGCCACTAATTTTAGCCATAGCCAGTTTCCCAACGTCAATTATGAAGTAATTAATCTGCCCCTATCTTTGAGATGCCGTTCTTTAGTACTTCTTATGCTTTCATGCATTAGATTACAGTAAGTTATATACCTTTTACTGTTTAGGATTGCAACATTAATGTTGGATTACCCGTTTTCAGTATTCATGGCAATCATGATGATCTTACTGGAAAAGTAAGTATTAACTGTTCTGTCTTCGATTTTATCCGAGGGATACTGTCTCTTTGTTTTAATTGGCGGCACTAGTCAATTGTGTTTTTTCAAACGGTTCAGGAGAAGAAAGATTTTTAACAAAGATTTTAATTAGAATTCGGTTTTTTCAGCTTTTTATAAAAATTTCGTGCCATTTTTGGTGGTTCAAGGTGCTAAGGTTTGTTTTGTTGGATTTTCGGCTTTTGTAGTTCATTTCATTTCGTTGATAGGTTTTTTTACTCATTCTTTAAAATGTAACTCAACGAAACCTTCTAATAATTGAGTTTTTTGGGTGCCTTTCTTTCAAGAGAAAAATGACGAGTTGTTTACAATACTTCTATTTTTTTTCTAGGATGAACATAAATTTCATTAAAGTATGAAAAGGGATTTAAAATTTGCTCGACAACTTCACAGTAGGTAGAGGGTCCCACCTTTCGCATTACAGTATTAGTATAATCTATTTTAGGAAGAGTTATTTCAAGGAGCGTGGTTGACAAATGGCTAGGATCTTATATAAGTAGCTAAAACAAATGCACGGTTATTCGGCAGCAAGCAGCAGAGAACTTAGAAATTTTAAAATAAAATTATTTTATTGTCATCTCTGGCGTATTTTAGCTTCTGTCGCCGTTCGGTTGTTACACTTGAAAATTAATACCTTAACGTGAAGGAGGTAGATTGGGACTTTGCAGGAGTGAGGTTAAGGCTGAATATGAGAGTAGAATTTGAAAACAGTACAACATATAGGACTGTCAGAAAATTACGAAAGTTATGAAAGTAGTCTAAATTCTAAATTTTTTGGTCTCAGACTTCTTCAGTAACAAGGGTATTTTCATCTTCTAGCACTGTTGTTTTTTTATTGATAATTAAATCTCAGCTTCAACAGAAGTATGTGGGGTGTAAGTTTTTTATTTTGAGGATTATATTTAATTTCAGCAGAGTTGCACTTTGTGAGATTTTTGAGTGAAAAGGCATTAATTTTTTGGTATACGTGGTAGTATTGAAATTTATTTACTTTTTAGGGTCTTAGTGCTTTGGACGTATTGCACGAGTCTGGCTTGATCAATTTATTTGGCAAGTTTGAGGAAATCGATAAATTTGTTGTTTCACCTGTCCTCCTTAAAAAAGGCACAACTAACGTTGCTTTGTATGGGATTGGAAGTCAGCGAGATGATCGACTCTGTCGAGCATTTAAAGGTTTTTTTGCTTGAAAAATCTTCGGTTCTTTACACTAGAAAATGTTATATGTTTTACCCTTGAGAACTTCTGAGCACTTCTACTTATAATGGTTTCAAATTTTTTTGACCACTATCTGCTTGAATGAAAAATTTGATCAGAAGAGAAGATACGCTTTTTACGGCCCAAAGCGGAAAAGGATTCTTGGTTTAACATTTTGGTTTTACATCAAAACCGTTCTCGTCGGTGTCACGACAGAAGTACTGGGGCTTACTTACCAGAGAGCCTCATCCCGACATTTTTTGACTTGGTGATTTGGGGACACGAGCATGAATGTAAAATAGGTATTTTTCTATGAAGTTTTTCAAAAATGTGCTTATTTGAACGATTTTTATTCGCTTCGTTACTGGAACTTTGTACTTTTAAACGCTTACTTTATGAATGTTTGAGGACTTATTAAAACCTTCATCTTGCAGAACCACAGTACTACGAGTCTGGCATCGATGTGTGTGGAGACGGTAAAAAATAGGTTTTTCTGTTGTTCATGATGGTTGAGCTTTTTTTCAGTTAACTTTCTAATAATTTTTTATCAATTTTTCAAAGGAAGAATTCAAGAAATGAAGTGGATTTTGGTCAGGCCTTGTAACAAAATAATGCAAACTGAGGTACTGCACATTTTTAGGATTTTACATAATACAACCTGGGAGCACTATAGCGACATCACTTTGTCCAGAAGAAGCAGCCCCAAAACATGTTGTCATCCTCAGTATCGTAGGAAGGAAGTTTTCCTCAAAACCTTTCAAATTAGAAACGCCACGTCAAATACTTTTTGATGATCTCTCCCTCGATGTAACACCTCCATTGGGTGTAACAAAAACTCATAGGGTCAAAGACATGCCTGTAGGTTTCTGACGTATTTTTATATGCTGGAATCACTTTATTGTGTCTGTGGTCGATAAATGATGTTATTTGTCATCCCATTTCTCTTTCATCTCATGTTAAAATCTAAAATCTCATTCAATTTTTCCGTCATTCTGATCATTCTAATGATCATTGTTCTTAGAGTTTTCATTCAAGGATGAGAGGATTGTTGCAAAGAAAGTTGACGAAATGCTGAAGAATGGCAAGAAGTATCGTGGGAAGAAACAGCCGTCGTTACCGCTCTTGCGTCTTCGAGTTACATATCCGGAGACGTGGGCTAATGCTATGGTCAGATTCATGTTATGCAATTTGACTGTTTTACGAGTAAGTTCGATTGTCTTCTGCATCTTTGAAAGTTTTTCTAGAAGCTCCAGTGCCGTCGTTTTGGGACAAAATATATTGGTGAAGTGGCAAATCCAATGGACATGATCGCTGTCAAAGAGTTCAAGCCTAAATGCGCTAGAAAAGAATTTAAAGTCGGTGTAACAACTTATGGTAAAGTGGAGAAAACCACGACACTGGAAGAAATTGTAAATAACGTTTTTGAAAAGTTTTTGCTTCGTCTCTCTTACTGGTACAAACTCTTTGTTGTTTTTCCAAATTATCAACTGAGTAACTTTGGATCTTCTGCACAGTGGTGGCTCCACCGTGCTGATTGGCTGGCTGCTTTTCGTTGGAAAAGTTTAAAGAGCGAACGGCGGAGGGAGGGCAGCAAAGGGGAAGGGACGACAATGGCGGCACGGCAGAGCTCAGCGAAGCAAAGCAGTGCAGCCACATCTTCTGTACTCATGTACATGTTTATATATATCTTAACACGCTCGTTCAACAGTGGCAGTTTGGCGCAGCAGCATCGCTCCAGCATTTCGTGCTGTACCTTCTGGTTTCCAATTTGGTAAAACACTCTTTACTAGGAGGAAATACAATATAGGTAGGGTCATAGAGAAACAGCAATGTTTTGAGGGCATTAGGCGAGGGACTAATGAGTGTTTCTTC